AGCCAAACTATATAACAGAACTCATAACTCGTGCACTAAGGTTGGATTTACATACAATTGATAAATGAAATCCAATGGTTAATGGTTAAAAGCAAAATAAATGTGCTAGAGATCTGAAAAATGAAATCCAAACGGTTTCAAGTTTTCCAACTTTCACCAAGTAATAATACTGGTAATGGAATAACATTATTTGTATCACTTTTCAGAAAATTGCTATCCTCTGTTTTCCATATAAAAAGGGCGTATGGAGAGCAAACCAGTTCTTTGTTACCTTGCATTAGGTAGCCTGGGGCCGAAGTTTCACTGTCAGTGACGATCATTTCTTGCTAGCATTGCATAGTCTTGTGAAGTTTGTAGTTTGACACTTTAGCCTACCTGCCTTGTTCATGTAAGAAAAAGAAAAAATTGTACATGCACCATGTACTGTGCCTGCAATTTCTTTGCATTTTATTACAAATGTCTGTATTAACAAATTTTAATATCAAAATATTACTACAAACAAAGAATATTATATTGGTTAAGGAAACACCATTAACTGTATACAATTTATTGTATAAATGTAAGCAAATGAAGATTACTTCAATTTGTCTTTTACACCATGATGAGACTCAAAATAAATATTTGCTTTGCTTCCACATCTAGAGATAAGACTAGAAATGAAGCCCACTTTAACAAGGCATATGTAAATGTACTAAATAATGTAATTTCCAGATCACTTGGGCTTCTTGTACATTAAACACTTAGTATACAAAAAAAAAATAAATAAATAAATAACAGTTAGCATCTGTCTTTGGGTTTACATCCGTATACTGGCTTAAGAAATCCCATTCCAAAAGAAAGAATAAACAACAGTCAAATATTCAACATACGTGTCTTTCAACATTAACTATAAACTCAACAATGACAAGTAGGAATGTGTTTAAAACGAATGTATTAAAATCCAGCTTCATTCCTAGCTCTGACTGCATCTATAATACCTAACCATTTCTAATAAGGTTTCAAACTCTTTCATTCCTGCCTACGTGTATTTAAGTAAGCATGAGCATGATGGCTTCTACGACGGTGCCCAGAAGATTACCTTGAAAATCTCTTATTCAGTTAAAATATATACAGGATAGAACAACTTTTTTTTTTAAGTCTGTCATTGCCCTTCTTTAAGTATACAGAAATTACAATAATATAACAGTTCTTCTTGTACATACATAATGGTGAACAAAATCACTCTCAGAACACTGTGAACACAACTGATGCTAACTTTCAATCCCTGATCTAAAACAAAAGGACATACTTCACACTGTACTAGGCAAGTACGAGAGAAAAAGAACAAAAATAAAGTCGACCTTCTGAAATAAGGAAAGAAATTGCCCTATTCATGCAGCACATCAACTTTAATGCCATATTTTTCATGCGTCTCAAAACCAACAACTCATAATTGTGAAGTCAGGATGTAAATAAAGACTTTCATGGATTGTGTGGCATGATTTTGGCTGCGGGAATATTTATTACTGTCAAGAAACTTTTTTTGATCTATAACTGTCAACCTGAAATGGCTTGACAGTCATAAATATTCCATTTATTACTGTCAAAAAACATTTTTTGATCTATAACTGTCAACCTGAAATATTTCAGCATTATACATGTATATATAGATAAATGCACAATTATGTAGGTAGGTAGGTTGGTGGGTGGGTAGGAGGTAGGTGGGTGGGTAGGTGGGTGGGATGGTTGTAGGTAGGTGGGATGGTTGTAGGTAGGTGGGATGGTTGTAGGTAGGTGGGATGGTTGTAGGTAGGTGGGATGGTTGTAGGTAGGTGGGATGGTTGTAGGTAGGTGGGATGGTTGTAGGTAGGTGGGATGGTTGTAGGTAGGTGGGATGGTTGTAGGTAGGTGGGATGGTTGTAGGTAGGTGGGATGGTTGTAGGTAGGTGGGAGTGGGATGGTTGTAGGTAGATGGGATGGTTGTACGTAGGTGGGATGGTTGTACGTAGGTAGGTAGGTAGGTAGGTAGGTAGGTAGGTAGGTAGGTAGGTAGGTAGGTAGGTAGGTAGGTAGGTAGGTAGGTAGGTAGGTAGGTAGGTGTGTGTGTGTGTGTGTGTGTGTGTGTGTGTGTGTGTGTGTGTGTGTGTGTGTGTGTGTGTGTGTGTGTGTGTGTGTGTGTGTGTGACAAAATTATCAAAATTTTAACAAAAATATTTCATTAAAATATACTGAGTGTGTGCAAGATCCCTATATACCAGCAAATACAATTTCCGTATGGCATGGGAATATATTTACATTGTGTCAAATTATGATTCTTACCACACTATATATGGCTTTATTACAACCCTCTTTTATTGCAATGGCAGAAAATAAATGCAAAATTCAACAAACTGTATATGTAAAGATTCGCAGCATACACCTTATATGTGCCTTGCGAAAGAGGTCAGTTCTAATGCCAAATTATACTCTATATTTTTTCTAAGATTGTCTTCTACATTATTTACATAAAATTTTCTCTATCCTCACTAAAAACTGTTAGATGTAACCTCAGCATGTATTTCACACTAAAGCATAATTTCATTCAAAAGTGACGACAAAAAAAAGAAAAACCCATTTTACAGAGAATAAATTTGCTGTTTTCAAAGTCTTTTTGTGATTTTAGTAACAAAGGAAATTCCCAAATATCTCTGAAATCTTGAAATTTAAAGCTATTGTATGTATACTAATAATACATATGCCACTCGCAACAACAGAAGCAGCAGTTAATACATTATTATTGTTACACAACATTAAAAACGGTACATGCTGAAGTTATCATAAGATTATCCTCCAATATTATTCATATAAAAAATGTCAACTATTTAGCATGAACATCTACACATGGGGAGAGGGGTGTGTGTGTGGGTATGTCCACATGCATGTGCATACATATAAATACACATGCAGGTGTAAACATGTGCATGTACATATACACATGTGATATCCATGTGCACTTCTAAGTGGATGTGTTTGACTATGTTTTAGTTATTCAAATACCATAGCAATCAAGTCTTTGCTCATTCAATATACTCCAATGTGACACAAATGTTAAACGTTGGTTATTATTCTTACATCATATTAAATGTTTTCAGTATTCAGACATATTATGGTGGGTAGTATTCCTGTCTAATTCTCAAGAACATTCTTTATAATTACTTCCTGCCAACCTTTTATTTCAAGTTTTATATATATATATATCTTATAAGTCTAGACCACTACAACCTCAATAACATATCAGTTTTATTCCTCACCTTACTTCTGAGTTTTCCATAAACCAGTCTGGCAAAGTCTTTTCATGTCTTCTCATGCCTATTTCTAGTCTGCTATGAGTACGTTTAGAAAGCCATTTCTCTCCCTATTTCACCTAGCACCTGTATTTGATAGAATAAAACCAGCAATATCTTCCTTCCTTCTTTTCTTTTCCAAAAGAAATGCAATTCCAAAACCTCCCTGTATAACCTTTGATTTTTAAATGCAAATCCTGAACCTTCCTAAGCAAATATTTACCCGTAGACTATTAATACTTCTACAGTAACGTGACTAACTCCACAGCACAGGAACATTTTCTTCTTATATTATCCAACTGTTACTTTAATAGAACATATGAATATCTTGCAACCATTTTCTTACACATTTTAAAGCCTTCTATCATTGAAAATTCCCTACTTAACCTGAAAATTGTAACATCCATCATATGATGGACAGCATAGCTATGATGTACATTATTTGATGGGAAAGTTTTTTATGAACTGGGCATGCCACACATTGCTCCCAGATGATATGGAAATAAAAGAATGATTTAAGTAGTTGCAGTAGAAATTAAAGTGTGGAAAAGTCAAAACATTGTGGTAAAGGAGGGAATGTTACTGTCTCATACAGTATAGTCCCTTACATTACCTTAACTGGAAAGGTATGCTTGAAAAGCCAGCTGCACAGTTATTGGGTGAAAAAGATAGAGCAGAATTCCTATAAACCATATAGTTTCATTTAAAAAGTTACTTTCTCTATTCCTCACACAGACTTTACCGTTTCTTCTTTTATCCATTACTCCGTCTTTATACAAATAACAGTATAAATTTTCAACCACGGCTCACTCCGTTAATCAACTTACTCCCAACTACTTTCAGATCATAACCCATACGCAAGACCCTTAATGACTGCTAGAGACGGTAGCATATCAAAACATGCATCTATGAGTGAGCATGTGTGTGCATTAATCTACAGCCCATATAATTAGATGCCCTAACACTTGCTGCATCTCCTACACTTCAAAGCAAACATGAAGAGATCTGCTTTGTCTTAAGGGAGAGATTGCAGCACAACACCAAAGATATAACAGTGTGACTAAATAGCTATAAATAACCAAGTTTATCAACTTCTTTGGGAAAGAACAATTATCCTCTTTGACGGCTGAAATCACGTGTTTTCTTCCTCTGGATTATAAAGATCAAGTGTATTTCAAAAGGAAGACAGGAGGAGGAGAGGGGGAGTAGGAAAGGGAGACCAGAAAATGGAGAAGGCAGAGAGGAGAGCAACAAGGATGAAATGAAAAGAGTAGAAGAGAGCATGGGGGAGGGAGGGAGGGGGAGAGGGAGGGGGGGGAGAGAGAGAGAGAGAGAGAGAGAGAGAGAGAGAGAGAGAGAGAGAGAGAGAGAGAGAGAGAGAGAGAGAGAGAGAGAGAGAGGGAGAGGGAGAGGGAGAGGGAGAGGGAGAGGGAGAGGGAGAGGGAGAGGGAGAGGGAGAGGGAGAGGGAGAGAGAGAGGGAGAGAGGGAGGGAGAGAGGGAGGGAGAGAGAGAGAGAGAGAGAGAGAGAGAGAGAGAGAGAGAGAGAGAGAGAGAGAGAGAGAGAGAGAGAGAGAGAGAGAGAGAGAGAGTGGGAGAGTGGGAGAGTGGGAGAGTGGGAGAGTGGGAGAGAGGGAGAGAGGGAGAGGGAGAGGGAGAGAGAGAGGGAGAGGGAGAGAGAGAGAGAGAGAGAGAGAGAGAGAGAGAGAGAGAGAGAGAGAGAGAGGGAGAGGGAGAGGGAGAGGGAGAGGGAGAGGGAGAGGGAGAGGGAGAGGGAGAGAGAGGGAGAGAGAGAGAGAGAGAGAGAGAGAGAGAGAGAGAGAGAGAGAGAGAGAGAGAGAGAGAGAGAGAGAGAGAGAGAGGGAGAGAGAGAGAGAGAGGGAGAGAGAGAGAGGGGGGGAGAGAGAGAGAGAGGGGGGGAGAGAGAGAGAGAGAGAGAGAGAGAGAGAGAGAGAGAGAGAGAGAGAGAGAGAGAGAGAGAGAGAGAGAGAGAGAGAGAGAGAGAGAGGGAGAAAGTATATGAGTGTGTGAGTGTAGAAAAAAAAAAGAGCACATGAGTGTTTGCAGTAACTATTAAAAGATGATGATGGAAATTAAGCATGACATTACTCCTAGACACATTCAGCATTAAAAGTTTTAATTTGTTTATATCTTAAATGAGCCTTATTTCCTAAGGAAAATATATTCTATTCATGCCATAGTTCCCTTTCAATTGTTATATTTCTTTAATAAGGATAACTTGACTTACAATCTGAATTGTAAAGTATAATAATCAAATAGTATATTTTAAATTTCTGCCAGGCTTTTACAAATGAATATGACAGCATACCAACTATGAAGTTAAACTCATAAAAACACATTTACACAATGTTAAGAATAATTGGCACAAACAATTTCTACAAAGCCCCCATTTCTTTGGTATTTCTTTTCTTAGTCTTGAATTATTCTAACATACGCAAAACGCAATATAACACATACTACACATGAGATTCTAAAGCTCCTACCAATCCTTACAAAACTCTGTGAATAAAAGAACTACAGGATGTCAAAGACGTCAACTGGACGTATCTTAGTCAACAAGTATTTGGCGAATTTCAGTTTTGTTCTCAGAAAAAGGACGTCGTTACAAATTTTGTTCGTGAATTTACTAGCTGAATATTTAGTGCTTCTAGACCTCAGAGACACAGGTCTACATTTACACACATGTCAAGGAAAAAAAAAAAAAAAAAAAAAAGTATCAGCATACACAATAACAAAAAAAAAACATCAGCATACACAATCGCATACACAGGCATATATCCATGGTTCCAAACAGTCCATAGCACAATTAAACACACACACACATATATATATTTATATAATCCTTTATACAAATAAAAAAAAATAAAAAAAGACAAATACTCATATACATACACTAGTTTCCATTATAAATGACTTTACATTTATATTCCCTATAAAGTAATCAGAATAAAATCAAATAGAATTACTACTTATAATAATAATAATCACAATGATAAATACGTAAATAATTCTGCCTATGGGGATTCACTCTCCAAAGAAAAATATCTTCCTACATATGGTGATCACAGCCTCGGCAATCTCTACAGTAACTCAAAACTGTAATTAACAGGACTAAGTACATCACTAATTCCTTTTATGTATGTCATTTACGAGTTGCCCACAGTCTTGTGAAGTTTGGAGGGGAAATTTGTATCCAGGATAAAGCATCGATTCCATCTCACTCGACTGTACTCGTTCCGTCCGCCTTAGAGCAGGATGTTGGCTGCGGTGAGTGCTGCGGCCATGAGCGTGAGTGTGTCCGAGAGGAGGTACTGCGACTGCGAAGCTACGGTTTCCGCTCCACTTGTCTGCCAACATGGTGTCACCTTTAGCACTTGGATTATGAGGGAGTCCAGGATATTGGCTGGTGTGGGGTCTTCGCATTTCTCGGTGTGCTTCACAACACACTGGTGCATGGCGTTTAATTTCCTGGAAGATTGAGAAATAAATATTATCGATACGGGGGAGGGAGGGAGAGAGGAGGGGGAAAAAAAAAAAAAAAAAGAAGGAAGGAAGGAAGGGTAAAAAGTGTTTCTTAACAAAATTATGGGGAAATAATAAAACACCCACAATACTTACTTGCAGTTTGCCTCGTTTATCGTGAAAGTCTGCGGGGATAATAAGCCCATGTCTTCTTCTGCGTCTTTTATCTCCGGAACTTTCTCTTCCACACATTCCCTAATGTTGTCTTTCTGGCTGACGAGACATTCTTCGCCTTCCTCTGCCATGAACACTGAGGAGCAACAATTTTTATTTTAGGTGAAGTGAAACATCTCAGGAAGTGACTTGTCTTTATCTCATTCTTTGTCTCTGCTTCTGACTTCCTACAATCTATACATCTTTGCCTGATTCTCTCTTCTTTCTTGTTCTTCTTCCTCTCCCATTCTTTCTACCCCTCTTTCTCTTGTCCCCCTTTCTTTCTTGCCACATCAAAAACAAACTCCTTAGTTCTAAATATTAACCCATTGCCGACAGGCATGGCACATACG